CCCGGTCCCCGATCTCTGGCCCAGATCCCGCGGGCGGCGTCTGGCGCTGCCCGCCCCACCTGCAGTATGCAAATTTAACAGCCATCTATGTTGAGTTAATTTGCATACTCTTCTGATTGGCTGGTGGGCATAGCGAAGGTACGGTCAATTAGCATCTTTGTCTTTTATTAGTGTAGATATCCTGTGTGGGGATTAAAAAAGAAAGAAAATAAAGAAAGAAATATCCATTTTGGTTTATGAGGTCCGCACATTTCCTAAACCTCTGGCGGGCCTCCTGCTTGCACGCCTTCATCAGTGGGAGCAGGCAGCGTCTTGGAGCATCCTGTGGACTGTCCTCCTGGTTGGCTGGGGAGTGGAAACTGGAGTTCCTAGTAATGATTGGATTTGGTTCTCCCTCTAGGACTTCACAGCACAAGCATAATTCTTAAAAAAAAAAATTTTTTTTTTAAAACTCTGGCAGCCTTTCACACATTTAAAAGCAATTACTCAAATTCTCCTCTTTCTGGCCTCACGCCTTCAGTTTTTTTCCATATGTAGGGGCTGGGGGCTGAGACTTCTTGACAAATATATCTGTTTCCTTGGCCTGTGCTCCATGCTCTGCTGAGCATCCCTTGTCAACTGAGTGTCCACACTGAATGCAGTCCCCTGGTTTGCCTGGCCAGTCTGGAGGGACCGACACTCTTTCCATTCTTATTCTCTATTAATTCAGCTAACTTTTAAAGTTTTTTTCTCCGTCCCCTCGCCCCGCCCACTCCCCCCCCCAGCCATATAACACTGTTCACTCATTTTGAGTTCAACTGAAATCTGTTATTATATTTTTACTTGAGCTATGTAAGCCATTCATTACCTCTAACTTTGTAGTTAATTTTTTTTAGATTTAATTGCAGAACCCCATAGGTATCCAAATTACATGCTATCTTATTAGATTCAGCTTATTTTTCCCAGCCAATTGAGCAATTTCATAAAAAAATATTTTATTGATTTCAGAGAGGAAGGGAGAACAGAGAGAGAGAGAAAAACATCAATGATTAGAGAGAACCATTGATCAGTTGCTTCCTACACGCCCCACACTGGGGCTCAAGCCTACAACCTGGGCATGTGCCCTGACCAGGAATCAAACCATGACCTTTGGTTCATAGGTCAACACTCAACCACTGAACCAAACTGGCCAGGCGAGCTATTTTTTGATACTGTGATCTGTGGGTTTTTTTTTTTTTTACCCACTCCCCACCTTTGAATGATTTTTCATGCAAATCATTGATGACAATATTGGTTTATCATGGGATTGAGAGAGAGCCCTTTGCACCTTCACTCACATTCTCATGGATTCATTAATTACCTCTCCTTGGATCTGATCCTTGAACCAGTTTCCAATCCACCTATTGAGTTCATCATCCACTTATATTTCTCCTGTTTTGTCCACAAAGGTAGCATGAGAAATCTTGTAGAAAGCCTATGGGACTTCACATGGTCTCTAGCATTTCCCTGAATTGCAACTCTTATAATCTGGAGAAGAGACGGGCACGATTAGCCTGACATGACTTGTTCTTAGTCAGTCCATGTGGATCCTCCTTATCACTGGTTCCTATTCTAAGGGCCTGCAACCATCTCTTTAATAACAGAATCAGGATCTGTGTTTATCTAGATCTAAGCATAATCAAAATGGAAATTTACACGGCTGTTTCCCCCTCCCAGTTGTGCTACCTAATTGCTTCACTTCTCTTTCTCCTTCTTTTGTGTGTTTCAAATAGGTACCGTCGCAGCTATGACTCGGATTTCACGGCGCCCTTGGTCTTCTATCACGTGTGGCCTGCCCTCATGGAGAATGACATCGTTGTTATGAAGGGGGAAGCTGTCACCAAGAGAGGGGCTTTTGTACGGTGGCCTTGCGTTGTGACAATTCGTCCCAAGTGTTTGATTCACAAGTTCGAGAACATTTATACACCCAGACATTCTATAAAAGAAGCTCATAAAGAGTTGCTTGATAAGATTTCATACAAAGGAGAGGAAAGGGATTGGTGGGAGAGAGCAGATTCTTTTCTTTGATTCGTCCACAATTCTTCATAGTTTCTTGGCAGTAATTTCTTTGCCTGTTGCTTTATTTATAAGATAGAACTAGTCCTACCTGCCTCCCCTATCTTAGAAATATTAAGCTATTACAAAGGCAAAACCTTTTGAGCTCACCTTATGGGAGGCTCTCTGTAATGCTAAGCATTTAAAAGGGATAAACTTTCAAGAAAGAGTTTGCCAAATTTTTACTGATGAGTCGCCATTTTGGGAAATGATGAATGTGCCATTTTTCTCTCCTTGGTATGATGTGTGGAGAGGGGAGGGATGGAGAAAAAGTGGGCAGAGGAGGTGGGAAGAGAGGGTCCAATCAGTTTTGGAAGTTTGCTTCCTGTGTACGGTGGCTATAGAATGTTTTGAGCATGTTAAATAATTGGACAGCCTTCAAAATAGAGTCTTAGTGTGACTTGGTATTGGAACTAGTGCCCACAAGTGCTGGACACGATGTGAACATGATGGAGTTTTGACCCTGCCCTTCCTAGAAAGAGTTAAGCAAAATTTGAAGTGAAGCTCCTCAGTCCAGATCAAAGCCACCATCCGGGTGACTTCTGTTCTGCACTCTTTGAGCTGGAGAACAGGGGATGTGCTTCATGGCAGCTTTCACCCACAGAGGGGAGAAGGGAAGTCGTGCATTGTAACAGAACTTAAGACAAAGGTTTTCGCAGCGGAAGCAGCCCACTTCAGCTAACTGTATCTCAATAAAACACTTTGTGCAATGAAAGTTGAGCCCATAGAAGTTGGGTTGTGTTGTGCTGACAACCACATGTGCTGTGCAATGAAGGAGCTCATAAACCATGCTTCTTGCCCCTATGATAATCACCCCCTGTTAAAAGATTCTTATTGTAGACTGTCTGCAGTACAATTTAGAAGGGAAGGAGAAGAAATAGCCACAATTAGCACTTGCCTTTTAGTTTCCTTTGCTCTCATCAAGCATGGCACCAACATTTGCCCACGCTTAAACTCCTCATACAAAATGAGAATACCCTAAAACAGTGGTTCTCAACCTTCTGGCCCTTTAAATACAGTTCCTCATGTTGTGACCCAACCATAAAAGTATTTTCGTTGCTACTTTATAACTGTAATGTTGCTACTGTTATGAATCGTAATGTAAGTATCTGATATGCAGGATGGTCTTAGGCGACCCCTGTGAAAGGGTCGTTCGACCGTCAAAGGGGTCGTGACCCACAGGTTGAGAACCGCTGCCCTAAAAGGAAGAACTTGGAGAAGGAAAGGGTTGAATGAAGGGAAATTTTTAAGAAGGCTTTTTATTAGTGGGATCTCACTATAGTGAATGTATATATATATTCTTACTGATTAATTTAGTTGAAGAGTAGGTGGACAGCAATGGTGATTTACTTAGTCACTCAATTCATTTCATTCAACAATAGTTGCTCTGTAGTCATCTATAACGTGGGTGCTAGGGTTCAGCAGTGAACAAAACAGACTCAGACCCCTCCCATAGGGAGCTTACATTCTCCAACACTTGCAAACTTAATGCACTTTGCAACTTATTCATCAAAACAGAATTCTACCAGCACCAAGAGTTTGAATATCGCAAAGTTCATTGTAATGGGATTTTATTTGAGAAATACCCTAAAGTTATTGTCAAATATTGGGCAGCTATAGTAAACGAAAGGAGTACGTATACCTAATGCTGATGACCAGTAATGGGCAAATGCAATCATATCAGCAAAACCTCTCTACCAGTGGGATATGCATATTTTCATAAGCCATGTGCGCATTTATGAACAATTGACTATATTTCTCTCTCTTTTTAGTGGAATTCTGTGCGACCACTAAGCCGAAGTCGAAGCAGGAGTTTAAGTCCCATCTGCCCCCGTAGCCGTATTGGTATGAGCCTGGTAGGTATCTAATCATTTTACACAAAATCATCCTATGATTGACATTTTAAAATTCAACAGTAGCCTATCAAAGAGGTGATTATAAGTCTGTAGGTAGAAAGAGAACCTGTTGCAATAACCCCAAACTGATTTTTATGCTACTTTGGACTAAGGAATTGATCACCTAGAACAGCGGTTCTCAACCTGTGGGTCGCGACCCCTTTAGGGGTCGAACGACCCTTTCACAGGGGTTGCCTAAGACCATCGGAAAACACATATATAATTACATATTGTTTTTGTGATTAATCACTATGCTTTAATTATGTTCAATTTGTAACAATGAAAATACATCCTGCATATCAGATATTTACATTACGATTCATAACAGTAGCAAAATTACAGTTATGAAGTAGCAACAAAAATAATTTTATGGTTGGGGGTCACCACAACATGAAGAACTGTATTAAAGGGTAGCGGCATTAAGAAGGTTGAGAACCACTGACCTAGAAAGAAGTAGAGGTAGTTTTTTTGTTTGTTTGTTTTAAAGAAAATGGGCTATTAGATGTCAGTTATAGAGAATGGGACACCTTAGTCAACTGATCCCAGCACAGGTCCCTGCTCCCTCTGGAAGTTACTCTGTGATTTGGAGAAATTGATCCAATGGTCTGGATTTCAGTACTGTATAGAGGGCACTGCAGGTATTAATTTTCCTCCCAATTTAAAAGTAGGAAAAATAAGATTAGTTTCCTTTTATATTAGTTCTTGAGAGAATGACTAATACTTCTGTCAAAGGGAAGAAGATAGCAATAACACCTCTGAAAATGAAAAAGGTTAGTATGATTCATCATAAATAAGTATGTTTATTTATTCAACAAATAATATTTAGTCAATGCCTTTTGAATACAGGGCTGGACCTAGACATGTGGACACCAGGCAGGCTAACAAGGTCCTGTCCCTTCAAATAAAAAAAAATTAAAATGTGTGCTTCAACCTTGTTTTAGAGAGGGTGGTGGGAAAGGAGAACCACACCCACTTCTCTGAAGTTATCTCTAGCAATGCAGCTCTAGCCCCAAAGTTCTAACCCTACCCCCCACCCCCGCCCCCAGCAAAATAGAAACAAACCCCTTGTAGTGATAAGACCCACCTGAGTAGCCGAGTTTAGTGAGCATCTGTTGTTACTCCACCACTCCATTATGTTTGACATGTCTTCATCAAACATTCCTTCCTTCCGTATCGGATGGATGCTAGATTTTGGGATGGGGGAACGGGACACAACAATAACTGAAACATGGTCTTTCCCATGGATGGGCTTCAATATTTTGTAAATAAAGTAATTGAATGGGGTATATGATTTGGTTCATAAAGAAGCAGGAAGTGCTAGAGTTATTAGGAGAGGTAAGATGCCTTCTGGGTTTGGTGGTGAGGAAGGGGTGCATGGGGGAGTTTATATTGGATTTGGCAGAATTTCAGTGAGCTGGGGAATTGGGGAGAAAAAATTCTGATGAAGGAAGTGGCCTGAGAATGGAAAAGGCATGATTCTGACACAGTTCTTTTGCTCTTGGAGATTTTAATATCACTTAATGGTCCTCATCCAGGAATAAGTTTTACAGTAAGTAAAAGCAAAAGGATAGCGCATTTAGTAAACTGATAAATAAAAAGGAAATCTTGGGAGTTTTATCCTGGAAGATCGCAATTCTCCCCAATCTAAGAGGAAATGGCATGTCAGAAGAGAGCAAATCAGACATCTATGTGCTGACATCCCTGGCAAATGTTCCCTCCGACACGCCCCAGGGATGATGGGCACCATCCCTCTGTAATAAGCCCCTCTATGGTTCGACCTGCCTCCTCCTCCCCATTGTGTACCGGCAGAACAAAGTAATTTAAACTTTAGGTGAGAATAAACTATATTCTCAAAGGCGAAACTGCTGCCAAAATTCCGTCCCTCTCCAGCACCCTCTCCTTATAGCCAGTCTGGTACACCTGCAAAATGAAATGCAAATGTTTTTGGTTGATCTGGTGCTGGCTTATTTGAGGTCTTGTGCAGAACAGCTTCCATCTTTGCGAGTGCCTCTCTGAAGGGTTTGAGAGCTCAGAGCAAGAGTGACGCTTGTAGGCGGTTATTTCTGAGCTGTAGCAGGTTTGAAGGCACAGGTGGTGGCTTTTGCTTAGTGAAAGCAAAGGTGAGATTTGAAAAATGATGGTTTTTTTTTTCTGACTTGCCTAGTGACTTCCCGTAATAGGGCAGTGCTTGGGACGCAGGGGGCAATTCATAGGAAGGATCTGCCAGACAGTATCTGACCATTGGCGCTTTAATTCGTTAATAATAATGTTCTGGGAAGCTTTGAATTCATTTTGGCCACTGAGCATTCAATCTCAAAGTATTTAGCAACCATTTAAACAGCAACAACAAAAAGCAACAAAAAAACCCCGAAGACACCGGGCCCAGGTTTTAATTAATAGTATAATTTAAACTAAATCGAGTGCCCATTTATTTCAGGAAGTAAAAAAGGAAACGCGGTGCCCAACCTGAGCGGGGAAATCACGTTCTGAAGTGTCTCAGAGCAACTAGCTAGCTGACGGTTCAGGGGGAAAAAAAAGTCAAAGGGAATCATTCATCGGGCTCCACCTACTGTGTAATCCACTTTCCACTTGTATATTTTCCAGATATCTCGAAGCCGGAGTCCTTCTCCGATAAGATGTGCACTGCCAAGTAAGTGGGCTGGTTTAGATGTTAGATAGAACAGTCTCCTGTTTTTTAATGCTCCTTTTAATACTCAGCCTTGTGCAGCAAAAGGAATGTTTTGCTTCTCAGGGAACATCTTTTACCGCCACCTGACACCTTGTATTTCTGGATGGGTGGTCCCTGAGCAGGTCGCATGTGGGGGTGGGGGTGGTGCGGGGAGACATAGACGGAGCCTCCAATTGAGAAACTTGATGGACATAAACCTAGATCAAGCACCCTGCTTCATTTAGGTCCTACCAGAAGGAACCCTTCAGGAAGGGCCACAGTGAACTTTTTTTCCCTCCCTAGGGTACTAAACCACCAGGCGTGTTCCTCTGCCACAGCACATCACCTGCACCAGCGCATCTACACCAGCCAGCCTCCCTGACGCCCATCTGCCTCCCCGGCGCCCGCCCGCCTGCTGTGTCTGCCGCACTCCTCACTTAAGATAATGTGAAAGGGCAATTCTGTGTATCACTCCACACAGAGACTTAAATGTTTTGGCTTGACGCATTTGTAACTTCAGATATATTGCATTTTATTTTATTTGATAGGTACCAACCCCATGACTTTGATAAAAACGATTGCATGGGTGTTTAGGATCACATTCATTCGAAGCAGTCCATTGCCCAGGTTCAGGATTCTCATGGCAACTGGGTGAACACCCTCGGAAAACCTTTACCATGCCGAGTCCAAAAGACAGAGGAGAGGTCGTAGTTTACAAATGGATCATCAGCATTATAATTTATAGGATTAGCTCTACCTTGAAAACAAAATTGGGTGTTTTACTTTGCTTTTGAGGTTTGGAAGCCAGCCCTAAGCTCAGGTTGGGGAACTTGTAGTAGGAATGGTGACGTTAGGCTGCATACAGAGGATGGTGAGTGACCAGGCCGTAGGTCATTCACTGGCTTGCTTCTGCTTTCTTACTTTGGGTGCCCAGTTTGGTTGAGCTGAGTACTGTACGTTGAAGCTACTGAGTTGAGAGTTTTCTCGCTTCATAAGTGCGGAGCAGTGATTTGGACAGAAGGCAGCATTGAGATAAATGTTTATTACCTTATGCTTATCTCCTGGGAATGTTTCATACAGCTTTAATGTATATGTTAAATATAACAGCTACCTGGGCCATGCCCTTTCCCTATTCCACCTACTTGGTCACAAATTCAGACCTTCTATGAACTCTGTCTGACCCCAAATACCTAAACTCAAGGCCTAAAACTAGGAACACCATTTACTGGTTTTATTCCTCAATTTCTTCACTGTGAAGTTCTGTTGTAAGTTCAAGATAAAAATGGAATGTGGCTTTTCAAGATAAGCAATAGTCTTTTTAGGCTTTTTGTTTATTTTTTTTTTTTTACTTTAACACTGGCCTTGTACACAAGCCTGACAAATGACTGCTTTCGCCAAGTGCCTTTTAGAGAGAAACTCTGAATTGGCCACAGCTCAGCTTGCATCAGCTCAGTGCCAAACCCAGCACCTGAAGCTTTTCAGGTGGAACCTCTCCCCCCCACCCCCCACCCCCCGCCCGAATTTATCTAAAACATCTGTCCCTAGAGAGGAGGGAGAGATGGCCCAGTGCTGCCCTTGGGTGTAATGTCACCAGCGCATCCTGCAGGGTGAGTTGGTTTTCCCCACGCGGAGTATTTGTGTAGTTCTCTCTTCAGGGCCATGCAGGGTGCTAGAAGGAGAACCTGGTGTCAGGTAACTCCAGTTCCATTTGGTCATTAGCTGGCTTTGTGGCCTTGAGCAAGTTACTTCACCTCTCTGAGCCTTTGTCCCCTGTGGAGTGAGAGACTGGATGAGATTAGTGGTTCTCTCCACCCTCCCAGGGTCAGTGCCCCCTTTTTCAAACAAATTTTTTTTTCTGGCAATTCTGAAGTGGAATTCAAAGTTAATGGGATCAACATGACATATATTTTTAAACAATGAATATAATACCCTAACTGTAATAGGATGCAGTAAAAAGGAAAGACACTTTTTAAGAGAATAAAATGTATTTAATAGCAAAGCTTGGGTGTGACCATCTGGAAGATAGAATGAAGTCATCAGATGCTTTCACCGTGTGTAGCATCACAAGCTCCCAGGACAGACCAGCGTGTGTTGCATTGGCAACATTCCACGTAGGGTTGTCACTGGGTATGATTCTCTGAAGTGGTAGACAGCTCTCGGAAAGTTTTAAACAAAAATCTTAGAGTTGTGCCTTGTACATGCATTCCTGGAATAGTTGCTGGATAGTAAAACCATGCAACAATTACCTTTAGCTATATGTCGAAAGGTCATTTCTAACATCTCACTAAGTAAAGAGAATGCTTATACACCAGAGTTTTCTTTGTGGAGTTGGATGTGGAAGTTCATGCCCTGATTTGGAAAAAAGGACACCTGTATTCTGTGTATTTGCTCCGTACCCTGTCTGGCCACGTGCCATTTCTCAGGTCTCCAGTTTGAACTATAACCACAACAGGGAATGAGGGGTAGTCTAGAGTAATTTTTGGAAAAAAATCCACAAAACCAAAGGAGGCCGACCTGTGCTCCTTTCACCCGGGTATGCACCTTAACCTGAGTGACTTTGAAAAATGAAAAGCTCTTACTTCATAATCTGGGTAAATATTAGCTTCTGTATTATTGGTTTAATATCGAATAATAAAATTGAGGAAAAAAAACTGCTTCTGTAACTGTAGGTTCTTTGCTATAAAATGCTTTCCTTCCAGATTCCCAAGGTCAGCAATGCCTTTCACCCACCCCCATTCTGTGGGGCCTGGAGCAGGGCGGAGTTCGTTCACTGAATAATACCAGCTGTGCCCTGTCTGGTTAATGCTGTGATTGCTGCAATCCCATGCTGTAGCACAATTGCTAGCTTTAGTTCATGTTGTTCACAATTCATTGTCATCATATTCAAGACGCTCTCTTTGAGTAGTACTTTACCATTCTCATGCAGCTTTCACTTAGTTATTTCAGTTGCTGCCCCAAACAAATGCAGATGTCTTCAGCCTTATAGATCAGGAACCTGTTCAATGTACCACACAGTCTTCTTCCAAGGCCTTTTATTTTGGAATAATATTCTATCCTGTTTTCTTTTGTTCCTCCACGATCTGTAGTTCTTTTATTTACTGGTTCGTTCATTCATTCATTCATTCATTCATTCATATAGTCACCAATACTCATTTGGTGAGTACTTCCTGTGCGCCAGATACAACACATACTCTAGGGATATGGTTGTGGACAGGGTTCTGGCTCCAATGGATCTTAATGTCATGTCCAGTTGTATTCCTTGGTGATTTCCCTGTCATGGAGAGCAGATATGATGGTGGAAAGAAAAAATGGAGTCCTACAGTAAATTTAAAAGAGAAAATGCCACATATTAACTGAAGAGATTAAATAAGTTATTTTTTTTGGGGGGTGGATACCTGCAATATAGAGAGCTATGCCAGGCAATGATAGAAGTGTGGTGAGCTGCACAAGAGAATGCAACTCAGTCATGTCATCCACGGTGAGTTACTCAGTCTTTTAACAAATACCTACTGAACCTATGACCCTAGGACAGTGATGGCGAACCTATGACACGCGTGTCAGAAGTGACACGCGAACTCATTTTTTTGGTTGATTTTTCTTTGTTAAATGGCATTTAAATATATAAAATAAATATCAAAAATATAAGTCTTTGTTTTACTATGGTTGCAAATATCAAAAAATTTCTATATGTGACACGGCACCAGAGTTAAGTTAGGGTTTTTCAAAATGCTGACACGCCGAGCTCAAAAGGTTCGCCATCACTGGTCTAGGATCATTAATCATAAAATGAGTCTGGGGAGGAGAAACTCATAAGATCAATTCCAACACTTCTCATTACCACAGCTGCCATATTCCTAAGTAACAGGACAATTTTCAGACCATTATAGTTCACTTTGAGGCACCCCACAAACCTTCATGGGGCAGATTGCTGCCAATAACGTTCTATGAAGTTTTGAGTGGAAGATTTCTTAGTAGTATGACTTTGAATAGTATCATATCTATAATTAAGGGGAAAGTGAAGCAGAGCATTGAAGAAACTAGTATTACAAACTGCATTAGGTCACTGAAATGTGAGCCCAGGAACCATATGGGTGACATTTCGGTATTTGCCATTTAAATACCAAAGCAGTGAATTTTGTTGGCCTTCGTACAGTCAGTGAACAGGGACCTTGAAAATGAAGCTGGAACTAATTTTTAAAATTTAAAGATGGGACAATTTCACACTTTAAAAAAATTGCCCACTGGGTGCCAGCATGAATATCATACTTTCCGTAGTATCACTGGCAATTATATATCAAAACTGGGCAGCTAGCTCTCTTTTCTATTGGGTGAAAAACACAAGAATATGATAAATGAGTATGTTACAGCTTTATTTCAATATAGGTTAAGCCATAATTTTAGTGATACAACCAAAATAATGTCTTGAAATGTGATGTGAAATATGTTTCAGAAAAGGTCTTTAGTCACCAGACAATTATCAGAAGGCCTTGAGCACCGTTGATGAATGGGACCCATTTGCAATCAATTTCTGGTGCTGCAATGCTGGGGATGAGACATTACACTTTTGTCTGTTGTCTTAGACCAGAGAACAAGTTTCAGAGCCGTTGCTACAGAGCAACAGACTTCAGGGTTGGCCTCGCTCTATGGGCCACAGGTTGAAGTGAGAATGGAAAAAGTTATCTGTTCATTCATCATTTACTCATTTAAGAAGCATTTGCTGCCCAGTTGGCGTGGCTCAGTGGATGAGCATCAACCTATGAACCAGGAGGTCAGGGTTCAATTCTGGTCTGGGCACATGCCTGGATTGCAGACTCGATCCTGAGTAGGGGGCATGCAGGAGGCAGCTGATCAATGATTCTCTCTCACCATTGATGTTTCCATCTCTCTCTCCCTCTCCCTTCCTCTCTGAAACCAATAAAAAAATAATAAAAATAAATTTTAAAAAAGAAGCATTTGCTGATGCTTGTTAATGGAGGTTCCAGGCACTGTGTTAGGCCCTGGCGATACATCAGTGAACAAGACTTTCAGTTGTGGAGAAAAGGTGCTCACACTCGAGGGCAGTGTATGCCAAAGGGGTGGGTCCGTGCTCCCTCTGAAAGACAGGGCAATGACTGGCAGTGAGCTCTTGTTTGGGAGATAAGCTGAAGTCAATTATACGTGGGTAGTGGGTTGAATCAGTCTGCCATGGCACTGCCTCCTGGAAGCCCAGACTTAGCACCAGGTGATGTCTCGTTAGGGAGGTTACCCAGCTTAAAGTAATACATGATGAAAATGATTAGAGAAAATACAGATGCAGCTTAAATAATGGGCTAGAAATGGCAAGGGGGGGGCATAAAGGACTTTGTACTTACCCGTGGAAAAGACGCATTAATACAGCAAGAGAAGACACACGGTTGAGTTCGGAGAACCTACTTTCCACAGAAGTAAATTTAGGAGCCTTCCCAGGAAGGCCCCCCACTCACAGTTTCTTAGCAAGCTCTTGACATTTCACTTTTCGAGCTATGCTCAGATTTAAGATTTTGAAGGATGTTAGAGCGCAAACGTGAATGCCTTGGAGCAGTAACCCCGTAGTAGGAATTAGGTTTTAGATTCTTTTCTGAAAGTCTTATGGATAAAGGGAGAGATGAGGAATTATTAGAGTCCTTAGAACATGATTAGAGCTGGCAGGGTATGTCATGGAAAGGTTTTTCCCTTTGAATGAGATGGTCCAGGGCATGAGAACCAGGTTTCACCCCTTCTGCTGCTGTATTTGGTGTGAGCACAGTCTTACCAGCCAGAGAAAGTTCTGTCTCCCCAAAGGCAGCTTCATCTTGGAAATGGTTGCTATGGACTAGCTGCTAGTATTTGTGTCCCCCCACACAGTTATATATTGCAATCTAATCCCATTCTGATGGTACTGGGAGGTGGGGCTTTTGGGAGGTGACTAGGTCCTGAGGGTGGAGCCCTCATGAATGAAATTAGTGCCCCTATAAAAGGACCCCCAGAGAGCGCCCTCAACTCTTCCGCCATCAAGGAGACAGCAGAAGACAGTCTTCTATGAGGGAGGAAGTGGGTCCTCAGCAGATACCAAATCGGCTGGCACTTGATCTTGGAGTTCCCAGCCTCCAGAACTTTGAGAAATAAATGTCTGTTACCTAAGCCACCCAGTCTATGCTGTTCTTGTTACAGCAGCTCGAACAGACTAAGACAATGGTTATCTTTGATCCAAGACCCATTGGTATTCTTGTATATCCAGTGGCTGATGTGACACTTATTTGCTGGCCGTGACATGATGTGACTGACTTCTAACCTTTCTTGGTTTGATTTGAAATGGCTTAACTGAAAGGAAGAGGGTAGGTGTGTTTTTTTTTTTTAATTAGAAAAATATTTTTTCTGGGTGTTATAAATGATTGACATAATTTAATACATATACTTAATATTGATAATCTGATGGAAAGTTTAAGATGACCTTGTTTCCCAGAATATCATCTGTAAAATACAAATAACTAGTACTTAACCTAACATTTACTGTATGCCAGATGTTGTGTTAAGCACTTTATATTATTATTATTTTAAATATATTTTACTGATTTTTTGCAGAGAGGAAGCGAGAGGAATAGAGAGTTAGAAACATCGATGAGAGAAAAACATCGACTAGCTGCCTCCTGCACACTCCCCACAGGGTATGTGCCCTCCACCAAGGTACATGCCCTTGACCAGAATCGAACCTTGAGTCCGCAGGCCGATGCTCTATCCACTGAGCCAAACTGGTTAGGGCAAGCACTTTATATTATTAAACCCATTTTATAGATGGAGGAACTAAGGCTCCAGGTCATTATTAAGTAAGCTATCCTAGTAAATGTTGGAGCAAAAGTTCAAAGCCAGGTTTTCTTATGTTGAACTCATACTCTTTTCACTGATTCTACAGGATAATAAGATGTGGAGTGAAAAAAAAGTATTCTGTGGTCATGTAGGTTTGAAAAATAAGTTAAAAAAGGCTTGCCCAGGGTGGGAATGGCTGGGGGCAGGGGAGGGGGGTCAATTGGGGAAAAAGGAGACATATGTAAAACTTTAGAGAATAAAAAAAAGTGAGTTGAACAAATCTTCTCTGCAGAACTCTGCAGAGCCTGTTCGTGGGCAACTTCAAGGTCAACATCACGTGCAAGATTCTAATTTATCCCACCTGGAACCCTTTTCTTTGCATGCAGCTCTTGTAGGGGTACTGTGCTAGAAGACCTGTTTCAGGAAATGCTTCCTTAGGACCTGTTTAATTTTTGAGAATTGCAGATGCTGCTGACCATTGGGAGTTAGGTTTTATCAATTTTTACAAGTGAAGGAAGAATCCTGACTCTTATCATCTGACAAGACTTTCATACAATAAATTAGTTAATGAAAGGCCAAAGCAAGAAATGTCTTATTTATCCCTGTTCCTTATACTTCTGCTGATCTTTTCCTTTCATCTTATTTTCTTCACCCTTCTATCATTTGTATCATGAAATAAAATTCCCTTTAGCCCAATAGTTGTCATTGTTGTTTTTCCAGCATTTGTGTTTTTCCTTAAATCCCTCACCTTTGCATCTTCACTTCTGATTTATACAATGCATCAATTTTATGAAAATTTCAAATAGTTATTTTCTAAATTTTTGAATGCTTGGGTTATTAAAGTGACAGT